AATAAAATATTGAATCAACGTAGAAAATATAACCATTTTCCGACTTTAAAGAAACGTTTTATCATTATTGGCTTTTAGTTGTTGGCGACGTCGCATTTGTAACCATTATGATATAAAAACAAAAGTTGACAGACGATGTTGCGCCAACGAAACGCGCAACATTGTTCTAATGTTTTAACAACGCTTGTGTGCTAGCTGGGGTGTTCTTTTGCAAATTATACTCTAACTTTTTTATGACGAGCAGTAAGTTTTGGTTTTAAATTACGCTTTTTCTAAACTACGTTTGGATCTTTGTGTAAGATTTGTCGCACACGTTGAATAGTTACTGGTAACTGTAAATCAGCGCGAGTTTGAGATTGAATCATGTGTAACTGCACAAAGTACTATAGCTCGTTTAGTTCAATTATCAATTTTACGCTTACCACCACTTCCCGTATAAGCTCTATAATTAACGCTTTTCTTGAAGTATTTATTAACCACTTTTGGAGATCTTTTATTTTTCTTTGCGATTTCCCAATTTGATAAACTTGTATCTTAGTATGCCTTAATTACATCTATTTCTTCATTTGTTAAACGTTTACTACGTCCCATTTTGCATTCAGGTACCAAACCAAATGTTAAAAATGACTTTATCAGCACTGATTTCATAGTCTATATTTAACTAAACGATAAAAAAAAGTAAAGTCATAAATTTGTATCACCAAATCAGAATATACATGTAAAGTAAAAATGTTTACTTTACATGTATATTTATACATAATTAATACATAATTTGGCCCAACGTTGTATTTTAAGTTGGCACAACGTTGTATTTACGTTGATTCAACGTTTGACTTTAATTGGCAAAACGTTGTATTCAATATTATTAGGAATAAAATTTTTATTAAATTATATTTTCTTATATATATATATATATATATATATATATATATATATATATATATATATATATATATACGTATATATATATATATATATATATATATATATATATATATATATATATATTATAAATAGGTATTGTGGTTTATTCTCCTCCAGCTAATTGCCATACGGAGGCCACATTACCAAGGACCGCAAAGACAAGTTTAGCTAATAAATAGCGTCATTACCTGCTCTACGGACCAAGAGTAAAGTGAGTTTAGGAAGAACGAAGAATGTTAGAGTAAAAGACAGAAGAAGTCGTGTTAGAAAGATAGCATACAGAAAGCGGACAGGATTGCACACGATGTTAGAAGCAATTTTATTAAATACTTACTAAAAATAAGTATTTTTTTTTAAATCATAATATATATATAAATACAGCCGAAGTTAACAGTAAATATATAAAAATTGTCAATGCTTGATCATCGCAACCAAAATCATGTGTGTGTTGATTGTGGTTTGATATTTTAATAATTACGGAAGATTTTATTTAAGTTTTATTATTTCGCAAAAGCAATGTTTGGTCGCATACAAACGTTCGTAAAAACAATCAACTTTTTGCGATGTATTTACGTACATTGGATCAACATTGATTTATATACATTGAATCAACGTCGAAATATATACATTGGAATAACGTTGGGTTAAGATTGTTAAAACAATCAAATTTTTTCGATGTTTTTACATACGTTGGAAAAACGTTGATTTAGATACATTGAATCAACGTCGAAGTATATGCATTGGATCAACATTGGGTTTAGATCGTAAAAACATTCAACTTTTTGCGATGTTTTTACATACGTTGGACCAATGTAAATGTGCCAGCTGTTTTTAGTTCCGTCGGTATCAATTTCATCATTAAACAAATGACATTGGATTTAATGTTGGTTATGCATTAGAAAAAACAGCCGATGTTCGCAATAGTTTTACATATGTTGGCCCAACGTGAGTATGCTAGCTGGGGTATAGCCATTCCATTGCGATGTCGATGTCAGCCTAAAAAGTGATGCTGTCTGACTCATTCTCAATTATGTCAATACCTTTACTGTTTTTGGCATATAGTTTCATGATGTTGTCCGCAAAGTAATTTATGAAGATCACAAAAATAAAATTGGCCTAAAACTGAAGCTTGAGGCTTCAGTTGAGTAGCCAAGCTGAGGTTTAGACTACGAGCGTGTTTATGAGGCACAACACAAACTTTGTAAATGCCTTTGCCTTTTTGTCAACAAACCTGTACTACAACCTGTAATAAAATTGTAATGTTTTAAATCTTTTTTTATTTTATTTTATTTTTTGAACAAATTTAGAAACTAAATTTGTTCAATTAAATCAGAGAAATTAAATTTGCTGCTGGGCAAAAATTTTAAATTTCTCTAAATACTAAAAAAGAAAGTATTATTATAACAATTATTCTAAATAAAACAACTAGTTCGTATATTCTATTCTAATCTTCTTTCTAAAAAAAAATATTTAAAAAGGTTAAGTTTTTAACTCTCTCATTTTATGAGATTGGAAATTTTTCATTGGAAGCTTAACAATTAACATTAAATCTGTTAAGAACAGTAAAAATATAAAACTGTAAAAAATACTTTATATTCGGAATTTTTTAGTTTCCATGCTCTTTTATTGCGGTTTTTGTAAAGTATCTTCAATAGATTTAAAAATATATATTCCACAATTCCACAGTTTGCTCCATGCTTGAAATATACTAATCTTAATCACCAAAATATTCGCAGTTACAAGAAAGGTTTATCCGGAACGTCTAAATACTTTACTCCGGTTTAAACCATAAGTCCGGTTTTAATGTTATCAAAGTTGTTTTTGCAATATACTAGGACAATGATGGTGTCCTAAAAACATAAAAATTTCCCACAAAAGACGATATTCTTAACAGTAATTTTTTTATACAGAGGGTTATGAAATCTTTAAAATATCTTTTTTTTTAAGTGGTTAGCAATAAGATGCTGTAAAAAACTGCTTGATAAGTATATACATACATACATACATACATACATACATACATACATACATACATACATACATACATATATATATACATATATATATATATAATATATATATATATATATATATATATATATATATATATATATATATATATATATATATATATTATATATATATATATATATATATATATATAATATGTTTGATTATACTTCTAAAAACTAAACTAACTAATTTAATTACTTTAAATTAGTTTTTTTGTAATTTCTGATTTTAATTTTTTTTTGTTTTGTATTCTTTATTCTATAGCAAACTGTTACACTATTTAATTCCTTTACAGAACATATAATTTTACAGAGTATTTTTGTTATTGTTATTGTTAAATAGCCATTGGATATTCTAATAATGACTATGTATATCTTCATTTTTATACCACATTATGGAGCACAACCATATTTTCTAAATTTA